CATTTAGAAGTAAAACGTTTAGTTTCAGATAAAAGAGAGAGAACCACAAACCTACCCCCCGCTTTTATAGCAAGGCTGAATACACTTATTGAAGTATTCTAAACATCCAAAAGAATGTGTGATTTATCTATATGAAGAAGTTATTTTAATCTGTTCTGATTCCTGCCATGCCCTGAAGATCCCAACACCATTATTAGATCTGGTTCTGAGACGGGATGGTTCCGTAAGGATTTAAGATGAGTTTTACAGGATGCGCTTTCCATCTCAGGGCAAGTGCTGGTTGCTCTGCCTGGCTTGCGTTTTCCTTTTCATCTGTCTCCCTCCCCTTCAACCTTAAATGGTGGATTAAATGTCTCTTCTTTACGGAGGGCTTCCCTGTTGTGTCACACTAGTTCCCTGCATTCTCCGTTTCGAGGCAAACAACTCTTTCCTGAGCTCGTCACTATTGGTAGTCATTCAACATCTGCCCATAAACTCCATGGTGGCCGGACTCGCTCTGTCCTGTTTACTGGTCGAGCACTAAGCGAGTCACAAAGTGAGTGTTCAAGAAATTTTTTTCCCCACGAATTAATGAATTAACTCAATTCGTTTAAATAGTTGCTCGTTCAGGGCTTCTTAGGGGTAAGCTATTATGAAGAGTGCAAATGCGAATAAGCACTGAGTCCCTTCCGTCCGTGTCACAGTACGAAGAGGACGTTTGCGTATGAAAAGGCAAATGAAAGTCCAGGTGACAAGCTCAGACTGGGTTGGGAGACGAAGATGAGAATGGAAGATCAGTGGCCAGAGGAAGTTCAGAGCTTTGTTCAGCCACTCCTGGGTTTAGTCCAACCCAGGGACTTACTCAGACCATCTGACTTCCAACGTGTATATTTTCACCCAAGAATCTGGCATTCTAGCTTGGTTTGGTGGAAAGGGGAAGACTTCAGAGATGGAATTCTTGGTCCAAATACTGGCTCCTTCTCAGACTTGCTGAGCAATCCTATTAGTCATTTTTATGGGCTTCATTATCCTCAGATGTAAAATAAAAATAATTTCTCCTTAACAAGTTTCTTGTAAAGATCACAGTTCATAACATGTGAAGTACCCTATAAATTTAAAGTACCACATAAGTGTTAGTGATTGCAGTAGGCAGACCTTGGAGGGACTGCAGGTTCGGCTCCAGACCACCGCCATGAAGCAAATCTCGTAAGAAAGCGAGTCACACACATTTTTTGGCTTCCCAGGGCAGGTAAAACTTATGTTTACACTATACTATGGTCTGTTAAATGTGTAATAGCATTATGTCTAAGTCTAAAAAAATGTACATACCTCGTTAAGAAATACTTTATTGCTAAAAAATGCTAACCATCTTCTGAACTTTCAGCAAGTCATAGTAGTTACATCAAAGATCACTGATCACAGATCCCCGTAACACATAGAATATTAATGAACACGTTTTAAAATAATGTGAGCATTACCAAAAAAGGACACAGAGACAGAAAGTGAGCCAATGCTGTTGGAAAAATGGCACCAACAGACTTGCTTTGTGTAGTGTTGCCACAAATCCTCAATTTGTAAACAATGCCGTATCTTCAAAGTACAATAAGATGACGTGTGCCTGTATATCTTAAAAATAATTCCTATCTTAAATTTGGTTTTGGAGGGAAGAGAATGGCAATTTCATCACTAGTACTAGGTATAAATATCTAATACCTTTATGGGGAGGAAAACTGGCTCAGACACAGCTGCTTTTTCTTTTTGGTGTCGTATGCTGGGTGTAGCTTCGTGATGAGTGAGATCTGTTGTTTATCATTTCATGATGCCAGAGATTTACAGAAACTTGTGAAAATTCTTTCCTTGCAGTAGACTCAGACATGTGTTGGTGACAAGGTTTTCATTTTTCAAATGAGGAGATTGGCACACAGAAATTAACTGATGTGCAGGACTCATGCCCTGCCCATGCTGCTGGTGGTGCTTCCTTGTAACACATTAAGAAGAAATATGAGAGTAAGTCGTAATCATCACCTAGTCTTTATTTTGGTGACAGTGTTGCAGTTTGAGAAATATTCCAAAATGATAAATAAATTGAACAAATTAATTTCACAATTTTAAAGTGAGAAAATAAGATATTAATAATATAGATGGGGAAATGTACATTACGTGTTCAAAATAACCCAGTTGCCCAGTTGAAAAACAGTTGAAAAATA